CAGCTGGTTTCGACTATGAGAGAATTAGGAATGAGGTGCTTAAGCAGGAAATTGGTGTCATTTCCATGTACTGTATTTGGTAAAAAATTTCCATAAGCCTTGATATTGGAGTAAATGCAGAGGGTTGTTCCCAATAATAATTATTGTATTTTAGTTGAATTTTAATTGTTGTAAGCCGCCCAGAGACCTTTGGGTAGAGTGGGTGGCATATAAGTTAAACAAACAAACAAACAAACAAATAAAGTCTACATTCGCCGAGATGAAAGTTAGGCTAAGTGGTTTATGTCACCAAATATAAGATCTTCAGCAAGAGGGTTGGCTGATCAACTTCCAATTTCCAGGTCTTTGCAAGCCTAGACAGCATTTGTGTATATGAAGAAAAATCCTCAGATGGAGAAGAGGCGTGGTTATCTGCTGTGTCTGACCCCATTAAATCACCTTTGTCTTGGGAAGGTTGACGGGGGGCTTCTTGTTCAGAATCTGAAGAGTCAGAAAAGAGGGAACTGGTATCGATGTCGAGGAGACAGGAAAAGAGTGACCAATATGCTTCTTTGAAGATTGTTCAATGTTGACCCGTTCTCTGCGCCGATGACTCCTAGGGTGGATGTCGAGGGAGAAGAAAAATAAATGTGTTTTCTCTTCTTCCTCCATCGACGTTGATCTGTTGAGGTGGAAGATGAACCAAAAGAGGAGGAATAACGTCTTCAACGCCGATGCTGGTGTTTTTTACATCTCGGAACATAATCTTCAGAATTTGGAGGATTCCTCATGCCGTCGACGTTGAGAAGATCCGTGTCGAACCGGCGAAGTATGCTTGTTCTTAGCAGTTGGCTTTCGAGGGGGAGATCTCAACCTCGAAGCAGCCGACGACATTGATGGAGCCAAAGACGCCCGCCCAGTAGATACAGGGCTATATGGGACAGAAACCAAGCCTGCAGTGGCACTAGCAAGCTGGCTTGGCGTCGGAGAAGAGACACCTACCGAAGGATTTGGCTCAGATTGTCGAGGAGGGAGCGAGGGGGCTGCCTCCGACAAAGATTCTCTGTCTCTCAATGAGTCCTCCAGAATAGGAGAGGGCAAAGAAGCAGTAACCGGTGGTATTTGATTAGGCTGTTCTTTTGCCTTCACTGATTTCTTTGCCTTTGCTTGCTTAACAGATTTGGAAGAGACAGATGAGGAGGTTTTCGGCATCGACAAGGTTTTCTTCGTTGAGGCGGTCTTTTTAGAAGATTTTTCTGAAGGTTTGCTGGCTGATGGCTTAGGGGAAACATTGGGCTCAGCATGAGGGGTAGCTGAAGGTGAGGAAATCTCCATCTCAGAAGGCTTAGAGGATGATAGTGTCCCAAAGGTGATATTTAAGTCTCTGTTGTCTGGCTTTCAAGGCAGCTTTAGTGAATTTCTTGCAATGTCTGCAAGATTGAGTTTGGTGAGTCTCTCCTAAACAAAAAAGGCAGTGATCATGCCCGTCATGAAAGGGGAGTTTTCTAAGGCAGACAACGCAGCGGCTGAAGGGACCTGAAGGGGACATAAGCTGGTGAAGGGTAAAATGTCTTACTGAAAATCTTCGCGCTGCAATGTGAAAAGGCGGGAAAGCGGAAAGTCCAAGGCAACCTAGATCATCGGGAGAGGCAATAGCGAAATCCGAAAAAGGCAGTCTGCATCAGGGGCAACAGATTTTAGAGTAGTCAGTAGATCCAAGTCAAAAAACCATAAAAATCCAGCAAAAAAGAGAAGAAATAGCTAGCTTGATGCGAGACGTTCCAATTCGCTCAGCGGAAAAATGGAACTGAGGCTTTGGCAGGCAGAGCATGCGCATTGGGGGCAATCTAACTTGTTACTTTTCTATTCAAAGCTCAAGAAGATTCCAAGAGGTCCAGCGCAGGCGCTGATTTAACCCTTTTGTGTGCATTCACAGAGACCATGCTGAAGAACCATAGTTTTGACTATGCGGACCTTTGTTGGCAAGGTGATGACTTTGCTTTTTAAGATGCTATCAAGGTTTGTCATCGATTTCCTCCCAAGAAACAGGCGTCTTTTAATTTCGTGGCT